ACATTGAAAGTAGATTTCGTCTTAAAAACCAGCGTTCGACTTAAATACTGTTTGACAAAATCCCGATGGGGAATCACGAGGATGTCGGCTCTAAGTTGCACCAGTGCAATATTACTGGTCCTGACATGGCATCTCGGCTTCAGTCCCTTTACTGCCACCATAACGTAGTCTGTCTGTGACTTTTCTATACATAGTTTCAAGGTAATTGTTCTGATGAACATTCCGCTATGGTATCTAGACTTTATGAATTTAAGCCAAGATTGGTGGCAAGGTCTTATTATGTTAAAGTTGAAAGGGATGGATTTAACCGCAATTTTTATTTAATACTAACAGTTTTCTTTATTTCCCTTTTCATTTGAGGAACTCTCTTCCAGCTTCTTGCTTGCCAGTGAAAAAAATTCAGTGCGATGCCATTTGTTATGTACAGTCTTTCTTATTACCCTTCTAGTATTCTCGCCTCTTTTTCGTTCAAACTTAGTAACCATTTACGTGTTAGTAACTTTACTTCCTTCATTGAGGTACGAAATGATTAAAGTGATAGTATGCTGGATGGAATCGGCTTAGTAATTCATTGCGACAGACTGAAATCAAATGAGTACGAAAATTATTGCTTCGCAGTCAAATTGGAATTTAAAATATAATAATCGATATATTCTGTCTTAATTCTAGTTATTTTATTATCTTCTCTCCTTAATAGTAGTTTTTTCTCATATTCTCATACTTCTGTGACATACAGTGGCCGCTAGCAATTAAGTATAACTCAAGACTTCAATGTTAAGATCAAACATTATTTAATTACAACCGCAAAAAATACTTAACAAGAACAAAGAAATAAAACTCAACCAAAACCATTTCCTTGTTAGTAGCGCGTTTCGGCTTAACGTCCGGTAAATCCAAAAACAAAACCCAAATCGACTCACAATAATTCACACTAATTCGACTTAATAGTTCCATTCAATAGTCACTCAATAATCACTTCAGTCAGCAGCCTGACACCGCTATTTATACACCTGGTAGAAAACATATATTCATAGAACTTTTTACATTATTCAGTTTATTGTCCTCATCTTTGTTGCCATGTTTATCACAATGTTGTACGCTCCGGCCTTCTTCAGGTGGTTGGAATGTCGAACTGAACCCTTTATTTAGCTTACTGGTGTAGACGGTTCTAGTTCCACATGCCATATCTAATGGATGTCAGTTATCTCCTGTTAATTCCCCTTTCAAAGTACTCCACTGCCTTAACCAGGTATTGAACTCACACTCTTTGCATCCTGTCACTCGATCTAACTAACGCCTTTATCCACTGTGCTATATATATGTATTTCTGGGTATTATAAACCTAATGTCTTCAGCAAACATTTTTTCCTGTGCTAACATTGCAATTTTTGCTGTTATCGTTTATGTTATTTTACCAGCGCTCATATTGCAATTTTTGTTGGTACTATCGCTTTTCTCTGGCACTCTTTATTACTGGCTCCCATATTGTATTCATGGCACGTGGAACTAGAACATTATAATGTAAATAGTATACATAATACCTCATCTCAGAAATATAGACAGATATATTCATAATTCCAGATTGTCACGCTCGAACCTGGATGTTGGTAGTTTCTTCCCATATTAAACTTACTCTCAGTGGCCTCTTGTGTCGTAGTGGCTTTATTGTCTTGCTTGGAGTGAAATATTTCAAAAACAAATAGAAAAAGTGTTAGCCAAGACTGAAACTCAGCCTCAAGATTTCATGTTCTGTACCGATAATATTTACTCGATCGGAATTGAAGAAAGGCAGATTTTAAACATTATTTATAGAATGGGATATATTGTCAAATATAAATGTGCAGATACCTTTATAATAAGTGCAGTCGCTTAAAGAGCCCTGACAAAACATTGTAAAGCGATTGAACTCCGATGAAAAATCGAAAACATCTATTTCTTTAACCATTTTACCAGGTTATTTAAAAACAGAAATTATTTTCAGATTGCAAGAATTTTTCCGAGACATTAATGATTTACTTATATTATTCCTATTGATTAACCTAT